AAACTTCCTAATTCTCTTTGGTTTGGCAATTTTTTAATTTTTTAAGAGCTGTTAAAAACATTTATTAATTGTTTACTAATTTATTTAGTCAACAAACTTGCATGAAACTGTCCTAGGTGCTAGGAATATGAGAATAAAATAAAACAATCCCTGATCTCAAGAAACTCAGTCTAGTATGAGATACACACAAATGTATGTGAACATATATGCACATGTATAACTATGCAAATAACTGTAAAGGTTGCATCTGTAGTCAGGAAGACCTGAGCTCAAATCTTGACTCTGATACTTAATAGTTGTAGGCTCTGGGCAAGTCACAGCCTCCATGTGCTTTAGTTTCCTCATCTGTATAATGGGAATAATAATAGCACCTACCTCCCAGAGATGTGAGAATCAAGTGAGATAATGTTTGTAAAGTACTTTGCAAACCTTAAAACACTATATAAGTTCTAGCTACTGTTATTATTAATAGCACTGGTATTAATAATAATAATACAAATCAGAATATATTAAGTACAAAAAAAATCTAAACACAATGTTATGAGTTTATAAATTTCTTAGAAAGGATTTTGATGATTTCCCCTCCCTCATATACACATACCCTTCCCAAGTATTTGTTTTGTTTTTGAATCTGTGGTCTGCATTTTTCTTGGCTTTCCAAGAAGTGGTTTGAAAACAATCTTCAAGTTTCCTTAGGGCAATGTATTTACTATGATTTCTCAGCACTCTCTCTCTTTTTTTTTTTTTAGTTTTTAGGCAATTGGGGTTAAGTGACTCACCCAGGGTCACACAGCTATTGTGTCAAGTGTTGGTCTGAGGCCAGATTTGAACTCAGGTCCTCCTGACCTCAGGGCCAGTGCTCTATCCACTGTGCCACCTACCTGTCCCCAAAATTCCTTTTAATTGCTTTCTTTTGGCTAGGCAATGGGGCTAAGTGACTTGCCCAGGGTCACACAGCTAGTATGTGTCTGAGTTCGGATTTGAACTCAGCTCCTCCTGACTCTGAGGCCAGAGCTCTATCCACTGCGCCACCTAGCTGCCCCCCAGCACTCTCTTTTTTAATGCCTCCATTTCTTTTAGTTTTATTTTTTTTAAATCAAGGAACTTCATGATGATCCATCCTCCCTCTGAATTGTCATGATGGTCTGGCATGGTGGAAGGTTGTGCTGAATGTTGGAGTCAGAGTATCAGGATTCAAATTCCAGCTCTGCCGCTAATTACCTGGGTCACCTTCAAGTCACCAAACCTCTCTGGGCTTCTGTTTCCTCACTTATAAAAAGAGAGAGTTGGAATAGATACCTCTAAATTGATGACCTTCTGATTTCCCATAGCAATCTGTACCTCTGTTATTGCAGCTTATTCTGAGCCATATTCTGGTCCTTTGTTAATTGCAAATAAGTAAACCCAGGAAAGAAACCATTCTTACCTCCAAGAAGCTTACATTCTATTGCATATTATAAAATATTGCATATTTGTGTGTATCACATCACTTCTGTAAGATTATATATGCCAAAATAGCAGGAACTCTCAATTATCTCTCTTTCCTAGTGCTTCAATGACAGCTTCAGACATCGTAGGTGTTTAATAAGTAGTTGTTGAATGAATGAATTAATTAATGGTGTTTCTTTTGGTTGGAATCTCATTTTCTGAAACAATGAATTTAGTTGTATTGTGGTCATTAATATACAGTGATTCCCCTACTCATTATATTGCTATGTTCACCCCTCAATTCCACACAGCAAACAAGCAGCAAACATTATGATTAAGCACCTACTATGTACTAGGTTTTCTGGACACAATGACAAAAATGAAGTATTTATTAAGTATTTATTAAGTTCTAGGTACTTTGATAAGTGCTGAACTCAGGTGTAAGTTCAGGATATTTCTTGTTCTTTTAGAATTTCTGAATTCTAAAGCTACCAAGAAGCAGTCCTAGGAAGTCCTAGTTAGCAATCATTTGTCTTGTTCAAAATTATACTTCATTCCAGTAGCCTTAACTCGGCTTAAGACTTCTCATAAACTGATCTTAACCTACAATTCTAAATTTATGTCTGACTGTTCTCTTACATGAGCTATCTGGTTTATTAAGATGATTCTCTTAGCAATTTGGAGTCCCACCCCCACCTGTTTGCTTTTTAGAATTTTATAGCTTGTAAGGACCTTGGAGGTTATCTAGTCAACTCAAATCCAATTCAATCCAACAATTTCAAAATTCTTACTATGTTTCAGGCACTGTATGAGATGCTTAGGATACAAAGACAATTTTTTTTTTTGCAAAAGCCCTACTCTCAAAAAGATTGCATTCTAATTGGGGGCCTAGGAAGATCAGCGTGTTCCCAAATAAATATAATGCAAAGTGGGCAGTAAATGGAGATGATGGAAAGATCAGACAAAGGGTTCCAGGAATATTTAAGGAGGAAGAGGCCAATACAGAGTTGGTAGGGGCCCTAAAAATGATATTTTTTCTTATTTTATGGGTCAGGGCCTTTAAGTCCAGGATGATTAGGCCACCCAAATAGGGTCAGAGCTGGATTTCCTGGAGAGACTGTATTCTGATACTCTGGAGAGAATGAGGCTGGTGACTTTGCACAGCCCTCCCTCACCTAAATCCAATCCACTTGCACGTCCACATGCACCTCCCTGATGTCATGGTCCTCTTTGAGAATGAAGGACAAACAACAACAACCTTTTGGACTGCATTGGTGTGAGGTCCTATGATCAATTTCCTTTGCTCCTGATTTGCTTGGACTCCCATTTGGAAGAAGCCCATGTGTGGACTGCAGCCTCTTCACAGAGACTTCTGATGGAAGGGTCTGTGGAGACCGGTCAACTGAGAACTGGATGAAGGCCACCCTCTGAGACAGGAAGGCATTGAATCTCTGTCAGAATAGCAAAGATCAGTGATAATGGCGATAATAATAATATTAACTCAAGAATTGGGTCACTTTCATTGTAAAGCCCCATGGTGCCTCTAGTTAAACCTCTAAAACATTATGTCCCCTGCTTCGACTTTTTTTCTGTGACCCTATTTGTCACTGACCCTTACAAACCACCCGTTCCCTCTCTCAGAAGTGATGCCAATTTGCCTAATCACAAAAGCACTTTTGTGAAAGGTGATTTTTTCCCTTAGTTATTAAGGAAAATTACTTTGTGAAATGGCTGTTGCAAAACCTATTAGTTTCAGAGCCACAGTTAACCAAGAACCTAATTTGGACTGAAGATTTTGAAACGTTTGCCATCCATAACAAAGTTGGAGAAACTCAATAACTAGCATTTATATGTTAGGTGAAGATTAACGAAATATTTTTCCCATAGCAACCGTATTGGATAAATAGTGTGAATATTATTCTCCTCACTTTATAATTAGGAAAGAGACCTGGAGTAGTTGACTAGGCCAAGGTCACAAGGCTGGACGTGAGCCTAGCTCTTCTGAGTGGTATAATGGAAAGCTGTGGAGTGAAAGGACCTGAGTTTAAATACTGATTCTATTCCTTAATGCCTATTTGACCTCTGGTAAATCACCTCCCTTTACTAGTTGGGTTCAGCACCTTTTTTTTCAACTTAGTCTTTTCTTTTGTGTGGGTGTGAGGCAATCTGGGTTAAGTGACTTCACCAGGGTCACACAGCTAGTGAGTATCATGTGTCTGAGGCTGGATTTGAACTCAGGTCCTCCTGACTCCAGGGCCAGTATGCTATCTACTGCACCATGTAGCTGCCCCTATTTTCTTTTCTTTTTTTTTTTCAACTTAGTCTTGAGTGACTGACTCAGAGGGCAGCTAGGTGGCTAAGTGGATAAAGCACTGGCCCTGGAGACAGGAGGACCTGAGTTCAAATCTGGTCTCAGACTAGACACTTGACACTTACTAGCTGTGTGACCCTGGGCAAGTTACTTAACCCCAATTGCCTAACCAAAAAAGAAAAAAAAAAGAGTGACTGACTCAGGGTCACACACACTGTCAGCATATGTCAGAAGCAAGACTTAGGCTAGGTGTTCTTGACTCAGGCCAGCTCTCTTCAAGGATGACCAGGTTTCAGTGGTATATTGGAAAGGGCACAGGCTTGGCAGGGGGGCAGGAAGAAAGGTCAGACCTGATGCTGACTCTTCTACTTACAGCTAGTGCAGAGGTGACTGCGGGGGGGCAGCTTGGTGGTTCAGTGGATAGAGCACTGGGCCTGAAATCAGGAAGATCTCAGTTCAAATCTGGCTTCAGAGACTTACTAGCTATGTGACCTCAGACAAGACCTCTATCTGCCTCAGTTTCCTCAATTGTAAAAGAGGATAATAATAGCATCCATATCTCAGAGTTATAACGATCAAATGAGATGATATTTGTAAAGGGCCTGGTACATTGTTTTTCAGTCATGTTAGACGCTTCAGGGCCTCATTTGAAGCTTTCTTAGCAGAGATATTGAAGTGTCTGATACTGAAGATGCTGAAGTCACTTCCTTCTCCGGCTCCTTTTACAGCTGAGGAAACTGAGGCAAACAGGGTTGAATGATTTGCCTAGGGTCACACAGCTAGTAAGTGTCTGAGGCCAAATTTGAAGGAAGATGAGTCTTCCTGGGCTTAGCACTGTATTTACCACCTCGCTGCTCCTCAGAGATGGTAATGATAGCATCTATATCCTGGAATTGTAAGGCTGAAATGAGATGATATTTGTAAAGGGCCTGACACATAATAGGTGCTTACTAAATGCTTCTTTCCTACCCGTATGACCTTGGGCAAGTATCTTTACCCCTCTAGACCTTAGTTTCCTAATAGGAATAATAACACCAAGGTTGCAAAGAACAAATGGCCAGGTGGAGTTGGAAGTTATAATTCAATTTTGCCATCAGTAGGGTGTGACTTAACAGTGACAACTTTCTCTTGATCTCTTTACTTCTCTTTGCTCTTATTCTGGTTTTAATTTTTCTGCAGCCAGGAATAAGAAAAGCAAGATGTGTAAGCAAAATCACCTCTTCTTGAGGCTGCTCTCTTACGGTAGCTGTTTCTATTTCAGAGGCAAACCCAATCTGCTGGATATGGGATCCCTGCTCATCAAGCCTGTTCAGCGGGTGATGAAGTATCCTTTACTGCTCTGTGAACTGCGGAACGCCACTCCTCCTTCCCACCCAGATTACAGAGAGCTGGAGGACGCCTTAGCTGCCGTGAAAGACATTAATGTGAACATCAACGAACTTAAGAGGAGGAAAGATCTGGGTAGGAAAGAGAGTTACTTTCTCTTGATTGTAGCACAGTTGCTATTATCTTAGGCTACCATGATCTGTGGCTCAAATCCTATGAGCACCATCACTGAGAGCCAGTTTAAAGACATGGGACCAGGGAGAAGGGATGGTTTTTGTCATGGTCACCAATGGACAGAAAGGGCAGGAGGGACCCAGGTGAATGACACCATGAGGACCTCTTCCTGGGCAGTGCTGCCACACAGTAAAACAGTTTTCCCTTGGTATCATGAAGCCTGTTAACTCATGGTCACTATGTCACTAAAAACTTGTAGAAGGTGTGTGTGTGTGTGTGTTGTGTGTGTGTGTGTGTGTTGTGTGTTGTGTGTGTGTGTGTGTGTGAGTGAGAGACAGAGAGAGAGAGCGACAGAGACAGAGACAGAGACAGAGAAAGAGAGTTAGAGAGAAACAGAGAGACAGAGACAGACAGAGACACAGAGACAGAAACAGAGAAACAAAAAGAGAAAAAGAAGAAAGGAGGGAAAAAAGAGTAAGGAAAAGGGGGAAAGGGGAAGAGATGGGGAGAAGGAGGATGAAAGAAGCTTAAAGGGTAGAGAAATGGGAGGAAGGGAAAGAAACAAATGGTTGTGGCCAGATCATTTGCAGCAGTGGGAGCCCAGGACAGTCTGGAGAACAGAGGAAGATGGATCATGGTTGAAGGGGGAGCCCATCAAGTACAGCTGATTGAATTTTTTTAAACAAGAAATACTACATTGAAGTGATCAAGTGTAATAGTACAGACTACAAAGTTAGAAATAAGTATATAGTTCCATATGAGATTCATAGATCACAGCATCTAACAGCATCATATCTAACCTTAAGCTTAGGCACAATATGTAACTACCTCCCTGGTGTGATTTGAGGGGTGCCAAAAGTTCTACTTGGCCTTCAACATTGGCACCAATTAATTGATCAGAATTGCTAGTTGATCTTCAGCACTGAAGAATCGCATTTTAAAGTTTAAAGGAAAGGCACAAGAGGATGGAAAGTCTTGGGTTGGGTAGGGGGCCAGTATGGAGGCACACGGAAGGATGGGTGTGTGAGGAACTAGGATGAGTTCCAAGGAACAAAGTTGGGAAGAGAAGAGACTCAAAAGAAAAAGGTTTCCCACGTTACCACTCATCCGCTGATTCAACAGGCATTCATGTTGCCAGGTACTGGGCTAGATGATAGAGAATACAGAGCAGAACGAAATAGTCCCTCCTCTCAAGAAGCTTATATTTGATTAGGGAAAACAATATGTACATGACAAGTAAATGAGAAATACACACAAAGGAAATGTAAAGTGGTTTCAGTGGGGACACAAGAGTGCTAACAACTTGGGGAAATCAGGAGAGGCCTCCTGGAGGCAGTGGCACTTGAGTCTTGAAGTTAGCTAGGGATTTTGAGGGGGCACAGTAGAGGAGACAGTGGGGTGAAATGTCCCATGGGGGAGCAGTAAGTAGCTCAGCTTACCATCTTGCTGAGATCTGGACCTTCTTTGAATCACATGGCCATATGTAAAGCCTGGACTAGAGGGCCTGTAAGGTCCCTTTCAATTTAGAGAGTCTGTGATTCCTTTATTTCCATGTTATTTTACCTAATTCTCCTTTGAAACCTAAATGGGAGTGGGCACATACACCCCTTCTGTGCATCTGAACATATCAGTGGGCTCTTCTCTTGCAGTTCTGAAATACAAGAAGAATGATGAAGATGAATCCCTCAAAGACAAGTTTTCCAAACTGAATATCCATTCAATTAGCAAGAAATCCAAAAGGGTGACTAATCATCTGAAGATTTTGACCAGAGGAGAATCTCAGGTAGTCATTTTTCTTATTTTAGAGAATTTGTTTCCTTCCCATGTTGGTTCTTACTAATCAGATCCGTCCCTAGCGTACTGGGAATGAATGTGATACATAGCCCAGGTGGCCTCATATTTTCAGAGGCCCTGAAGTGTTGGCATTGCACATGAGCATGCATGTACACACACACACAAACACACACACACACACACACACACACACACCCCATTTGGTAATAACCTTCCCTTTTAGATCTCACTTAGTATTTCATTTGGTAACCCTTTAATGCAGAGGTGTCCAACACTCCCAGCCTGCCCCCAACACTCCAGAGTGCTGCCAGAAGCAGATTAAAATGTTTAACAAAACAAATGGAAATACAAAAAATATAGACAATGTTAGCATACGGTTTTCTAAGTCAATATGTGACTCCCGGTGATCTTTATGTATGACTTAATGGTCCCCATTTCTATTTGAATTTGACATTGCTGCTTTAATGTACATGATTATTGTGAGGAAAGCGTGTCCAAAGAAATATTATTATCGTATTTCTTTATGCAGGTCATCACTTTCCCAACAACTTAGAGTCTTAGAAAATAGCCGAGACCAAGAGGTTAATGACTTTCCCAAGGTCCCATAGCCAGTATGTGTCAGAGACAGGAGTTGAATCCATGTGTGCCTCCAAGAAAGGCCTCCAAGGACCACTGTCCATCCACTATGTCATGCTGCCTCTCAAATTAATAATGATAATAATAATAATAATAATGATTTTGATGATAATGTAACATTCAGATAGTGTTCCAAGACTGGCCATGTGCTTTATACATTTTATCTCATTTGATAAGTGTAATGATTATTACTATCTGTGTTGGTATCTTATCTTTTCACTAGATGGTAACTTTCTTTAGGAATTCCCTTAGGTAAACTTTGTATCTCTCCCAACACTTAGCAGAGTGCTCTGCATACAGTAAGTGGTTGATAAATGTTTATTGTATTGCATCATATGTCTCAGACTAGGTGGATCACTTAAGCCTCCGTTTCCTCATCTGTAAAATGAAGGGTTTAGACTAAATGACTTCTAAGTTCCCTTGTAGCTCTAAATAATGAAAAAGCATCCACTTTCAGTCCATAAAGGAATGGTGAGGATGAGGGATGAGAACTAGAAAAGACAAAACTCTATCAATTGGTAGCAAAAATGTCCCAAGGTACACATGTTGATGGTGTCCACATTCATGCATTGCTTGAACCAAAAATTGGGACTCGTGATCTGACAAAGGGTACTCCTTTTTTTTTTCATAGATTTAGAGCTAGAAACAGTCTTAGAGTCATTTAGCCCAAACCTCTCATTTTATAGAAATGTGAACAGTAACCCACAGACAGGTCAAGAAGACCTGAGCTCATATCCAGCCTCAGACACTTTATTATTTCTCAACTTTAAAATGGGGTTAATAATAGCATCTGCTTCACAGTGTTGTTATAAGGATAAAATGAGATAATATTTGTAAAATGCCTGAAAGTGCTTAACATATGCTTGTTTCCTTCCCATAGTGAGTGATGATAAGAGGCAGACAAAGGATTTGAATGAACTCAGGTCCTCTAGTTACCAATTCAGTAATCCTTATACTGACCCTTCTCTTCTCCTGTTTCTCTTGAAACTGGGACCATCCCATAACAAATCTAGAACTTGTGGCTGCCATACATCTGTTCTTTGCCAAAGTGAATCCTCCTTTCCTTTCCATATTCCTTACTCAGACCATGTGTTTACCCTGTGGGGTCTTCTTTTCCCAACTCAAAGCTATATTTGATATTCCATCCTGTGTGACATTTGTCCATATCCTCCCACAAATCCTCAATGGGGTCCCCAAAAAGCTAAGGACCTTCTTTTAGCTCTCTTGGCTTTGAGTAAAACAGCACATGGGCTATCAGTCTGTTATTTTTCTTCTAGGAGACAAAAAAAGCTAGTGTGTTTTAAGTTGCATTAAGAAAAATCAGATTTTGGTGCTTCCACAAAGTGGACAAGACAGCGGGAGAGGAGATGAGGCAGCTCTCACAAAAACGGTTGTAAGTGGAAGCCATCACCTTCAGTGAGAACATAGGCTATGTTTCACTTGCCCATGCCTCAGCCAGAATGTGACAGTGGTGGGGTTAGAACTCAGTACTTCCTGCCTCTTAAGTTGGTTCTTTATCTATGCAACCACCTTGTGTGAAGGGTTAGCCTCAGAGCTAAAAAGCCTACCCTCTGACATAGACTGGATATTCAACCAGGAAGAAGTTATTTAGCCTCTTAGTGCCCCAGGCTAGCCTTCTTAAAATTGTAGGTTACAGACAAATTGTTGCTTTACATTAGTTTAGGAAGTTTTCACACTGGGAGATCCTCTACACCCCTGAAAATACAAATTTAACTCCTGATTTACTCCCCCCCAATAAAAAAAAACCCTTAGCATTTTGTAGGTACCCAAGAAATACTTCTTTTTATTCATAATAATAATAGATGATTGGTACTAAACATTACTATGTTAAACTAGATAACTCTTAAAGTCCTTCTAGTTCTAAACCTATATTCCTGCAGACTCCAAGGATCCATGATATTGTCAGTGTGTGTACTATCCCCATCAACTCAGGTCACAACCTGCTTATAACTTAGAAAGTCTTTGTGAGTTGCTGTGGCCAAAAACTCATCACTTTATGGCCAATCCAGAGATAAGCCCCTCCAGACTTAGCTAGGCTAACAATATTAATAATAAAAACCTACGTGTTAAGGTTTGCAAAACACTTTACAAATTTCTCACTTTATTGTCACAATAACCCTGGAAGGTAGATGCTATCATTATCTCCATTTTACAGACGAGGAAACTGAAGCAGACAATGGTTAAGTGACTTGCCCAAGGTCATGTAGCTAGTAAGTGTCTGAGGCTGGAACTGAATATTTGTGTTGCTAACTCCAGGTCCGGTGCTCTACCCACTGCACCACCCAACTGCCCCCATGACAGATGGCCCATATCATTCATTGCTGGCCTCACAGAGGCATCTATGGTGTAGTGAGAAACAATGCTGAATTTGGAATCAGTAGACCACAAGTATATAATAAAGAAAAATACAGTTGTTGCTAGGCACATTTAAAACATGGCAACAAAATATATTAGCCTATGATGTATCACCAGGTACCATAGGATAGGGCTGTGCCAATAACCAAACTCATTTTTTTAGGTGATACCACCAGTCCCGCAACATGAGCTGCTAAAGGAATTAACACATAGTTCTATAAGTACAAACCCAGGGATGTTCTAGAAAAAACCTTTGCATGCTCTACTAGAATACAGTGACAGATCAATAAATCCCAACCAATAATGTACCCATTGGCAAACTTTTGAGCGGGGCAGGCTAAACTATTAGACAGCTTTGGACAAAATTAACAGAAAATAAGAAAACTGATAAACTGCCTATTTAATGATTAGTTCAGTACATGTTCCACCACTGGGGTGATTTCACATATGGTAATTGAACATCAATCATATTTTGGTGACAGTGATAAAAATGTCTCTAGACATTCAGAGCTGTGACTATGGTCGGGTGACTGGAACCTTGCCACAGATCTGAAAGTCCATTTGCAAGGGTGGCATATGCTTCCTTTTGAGCTCCTTTTCAGACTTCTGTCCCCACACATAGCAGTCTTCTGCAAACCATGTTGCATGGCATCCTTTTCTCACCCTGCCACCACAGCCCTTAACCCCTACCCTCATACTGAGGGTTTCCTGACATGATAGCACTCATCCTGGGTAAACTGTCCTCTATGCCCTTCCTCATTCCTCTTCAACTCAACTTACCCTGGGGACCCACATGTCCACTTATCACTCTGTCCACACTGGTTAACATCACCAGGAGATTTTCTTTTATGCCAGAAAAAGTCAAAATAATGAAAATATATTTTAGGTAAAAGACAGCACCTTTAACAGAGAAGAAAAACTGTTTAGACATTTAGAAAAGACTGTGAGGAATTGTGTGAAGAACATTTCATTCTGCCTTCAACACATCCAGGTGGGTACTTCACAGTTATTCCCAATGTTTCCATGATGGTGCTCTTCCCCTTTGGTTGGCATCATATGATAGTGTTGGCTGTATGGTCACCTATGTGATGCCATTGACCCTGTGAGATTTGAGGAACAGACTGATTATCTAAGGCTCTCAGTTATGGGATTATCAGTCTGAAAAAAAAATACTATCTAAGACTTTCAGCTATGGGATTGTCAGTCTGAAAAAAATGCCTTTTTTATGATGGTGGACGTTCTAAAGGATGCTGAAAATCCACAATGTCACTGAGAGTAATTAGGATGCACATAGAAAATTCATATAATTTCAGTGATATCAATCCGTAAAAAGCTGATTAAAAACAGTTATATAATGCTTTATATGTAGTCATACATACATACAATCAAACCTCAACTTTCACAGGGGTAATGTTCCTAGAAAATGGCGCAAAAGTCATAAACACAAATGTTAATACATTGAATCTATGGGAAATAAGAAGTTAGGTTACCACAACCACCAAAACTTCAATCTTTTGCTGCAGATTGCTGAAAATATGCTTTTCTGCATACAATTCTTTATAACACAGCATTAATTCTGATAATAAGCACTTTTCCCAATACAGTAACCATGAAATAACCCATAAAATGCAATACCCAAAATAAAATTGGTAACATACAAAACATTTTTTCTTGCTGGCAATTCCTTAGAATTTTGTACCTTTTGTGTTAACATCTCAATAAAAATAAACAAAACTGATTTCAGAGAATATTCACTTTTTATAACACAGGCCATTTACAGTACCATAAATACTGAATAGCAAGTAAAATTCTTAAAATGAAAACATTTTTTAACCTGAATCTTACCACCCATTGTGTCAAATGGCAGTGTGAGGTCATTGTACTGTATACTATATTGCTATAAACCTCTCTACTTGGCCACCCTCTGAAAATCAAAGAAGAGGTTGCTGGGATTTTAGTTGCTGCTGTTGGAAGATGCTGAGACTAAGAAGGTCTCAACATCACCTCTAACACTGGAGATCATGAAGGAAGCATCAGCTTGAAATAATCAGTCAGCCACATTTGCTTCATGTGTGGTTTGAGAATCCTTAAGGGTCTCCAGCCTACAGTGACTGCAGACATCTTGGCATGAAGTTTATCTAACACCTTTATTTTCTCACTAAGCCATGGGCTTTGAACCCAAAGGACTTGTGCTATGCTTTGGGGGCATAATTGCAACACAAAACTTGAGTTTTAAAGGCAAACAGTGAAAATATGTAACAAATGCACTTGGGGTTCTTTTCAATGACAGGGTGAACCAAACCAGTGTAGGACTTAGTAGGACATCAGCCACTCCAAAAACTTGCCCCCATTGGCCCTCTTATTTGTTTCTCCACTGCACTTAGCCACCAATGCAAAAGTGAAAGTGAGGTTCCTAATAAAATCACTTAATGCTTGAAGTTGCAAAAGTTAAATGTGCAAATGTTGAGGAATGACTGTGTGTGTGTGTATATATATATACATATATATATATATATACATGTAATACACACATATAAATTTTTAACATTTATATGTACCAGGCACTGGGTTAAGTGCTGTACAATTATTATCTCATTTGAATCTCACAACAACCTGGGTGTTTCTCTCCTATATGCCTCTGGAGATGAGTCAAAGGAAACTAGAGATTCCTAGATGTGAAGATGAGGAGGGAATGCATTCCAGGCATTGCAGACAGCTGGTGCAAAGCTGATATGAAATTGATTGGGGAAAATGAATGAGAAAATATTGGATGGAAGAAAGACAGTGAGAGGGGACAGGAAATTAAGAAAATATAGATATGAGAGCCATTAAGACATTTGGCATGTGGAATATAGATATGGGTAGAATTGGTTCTCAGTGGTTATGGAGGCAATTTGCATGGGTTACAATGAAATCTGTCTTTGTGAAACATTGAATGATAATGACTGGAGGACTTAACACATTGCCAGCTTTTCTTCTTTGTGTTTTAGGATGCCATGCCCCTAGCTGCCCAGACTGTGACAGAGCTGCATGTTATTTCATATGACAAAGATGCTAAGGGCAGTGACTATTCAGCCTCCCTGAGCAAGGCCACAAACCCCTGTGAAGACTTTGTAAGTTCTTCAAACCCACGGATAAATGAAAGCTATGGTGTCAGGTTAAAAGAGTATATTTCTTTATCACTAAAACATGAACCTTTCAACCGTAATTCACATCAAAACTGTGGGTTAGGGAAGATATAGATGTCAAGATATCAGGAGACTTTCTGAAGGAACCAGTTTAATCATCAAAGTTTTAAAAGTGGATTAGTGAGGTTATTTTTTAACTGTGATGTGAATTCAGGAGAAACCCAGATTGTATTCTTGGCAGAGGTCTCCTGACTTGTTTAAGTCAAAATTTGGCTTTTTTCTCTGTCTTGCAAGGATTTGTTCCAAAGTAGTCTTACAAGGATTTATTATTTCCATCACTCTTTTTGAAGAGTTTATAGATAGTGCTCACATTGAGTCTACATTAAAATAGGAGAAAATCACATAATCTCTTATGGTATACGCTTTTAACAGCGGTTAATGGCGGACTATCATGGTGACATATGACTATAATCCCTGTTCGGGGAGGTGACTGGGGAGGGGGGGGACTGAGGTTAGTAGAATATTAGAGCTCAAGACCAATGAGCTACAGTAGGTCTGAAACTGATTGGGTGTCCATACTAAGTCCAACACAATATGGTAAGCCCTTGGGAGCAGGGGACCACCACCATACTGCCTAAGGAAGGGAAAACCAGCCCAGGTTAGAAAAAGAGTGGGTCAGAGCTTCCATGCTTAACAGCAAAGGGATTGGACCTATGAGTGGCCACTGCCCTTCCAATGTGAGCAAAGTAGAGAGACGCAGTTTTAAAAAAAAGAAGTTGATAATTGTTTATATTAGTATATATGAATTTAATTAGATTCAAGGATTTATTAAGCACCTTGGGTGACAGGCACTGAAAAAGACAAAGAGAAAAGTAATATGGTCCTTGCCCTTGAGAAGGTTATATAGACTGCTGGAGGTGGGAGTGAATAACAGACAGATAAATAAAGACAAAGCATATTAAAAAAAAAAAACCCAAGAATGGAATAACATGGTGGTGAGAGTGTGTGGGGGGAATGAGAGCCCAGCAACTGGGGGAATCAGGAAAGGCCACTTGTAAAAGGATGTACCAAGAGACAGAGATAAGGAGGGACAGAATTGGGGAGAATAACCTATGCAAAGGAACAGAGACTGAAGATGGAATGTGGAGTATTGTGAATGTGGGGGGGGGGTGATGGTGAAATCAGTAAATAGTAGTTGACATTTATAAATCACACTAATGCTTATGAAACATTTACTTACATCATTTCATTAAATTCTCACAACAATATTGTGAGGGAGGAGCTATAATTACTCCCATTTTACAGATGAGGAAGTGGAGATTGAAAGAGCTGAAGTGACTTGTCCTGGTTCACACATTTAGTGAGAGTCAGAGGCATGATTCCAACCCATGTCTCCTGACTCCAAGTCCAGATGCCTTTCCCATTAAATGATAGAATCTCGTGCAACACAAAAACCCATGTATCTTGAATACCTTAGCAATTTTGCTAAGTTGATAAAATATTTAGGTGGTGGACTGAATATAGGTTTTAATTTACTTTTAAAATTTATGCTGAATATATATTTTAATATAAGATAAAACATTAATTTTAATTTAGTCTAAGTTTTAACTACATTTAATTTTGACTTAATTTCATGTGGTTCTGTGAGTAATTTTGTTTAGTGTTCATTGGATTTTTTTTTTGGTGGAGTCAACGGTTCTGAAACTTATAGTCTTAGAATAGGGAGTTCCTAACATGGGAGTCTATGAACTTGGTTTTTTAATAAACTATTTTGATAACTGTATTTCAATATAATTGGTTCCTTTTGTAATTTTATGAATTTTATTTTATGCATTTAAAAGATATTATTTTTATAAGGAGTCCATAGATTTTACTAGATTTCCAAAGGGGGTCCATAACACACAAGAAGGTTAATAACCTTACAGTATTGTTTTTGTTTTTGTTTTTTGCTAGGTAATGGGGTTAAGTGACTTGCCCAGGGTCACACAGCTAGTAAGTATCAAGTATCTGAGGCTGGATTTGGACTCGGGTCCTCCTGACTACAGGGCCAGTGTTCTATCCACTGTGCCACCTAGCTGCCCTGATAATCTTAGAGTATTGTCTGGGAAATTGAGAGGCCATGTTACTTTCTCCAGGTCACAGGGAGGACAAGGTCAGAGGTAGGACTTGAATAATGCAGTTTGCTCTGACTTGAAGACCAGATTTCTGTCCATTCTGCCATGCTTCCTGTCTCATATTCAGCTTCATATAGATTATATACTTTGCTACTTTAAAAGAGCATAATTGCATTGGTGTATGTGGACATTTCTTTCTCTGTCATAGATCATACCCCTTTCCTATTTCACAAATAAATGTAATCAGCCTATGCCCAATCTCCTGGCAAGGAGTCCCTCTGAATTTCCTGAGATTGGTCCTCATATGACAAACATACAATTCATTAATAACCTGTACGTAAAGCCTGACCAGTTTGATAAGACCTACCATAGTGTCACTGGCATAGCTTACAAGAGCCCAACGTCCCCAATACACCTTGATAAAACGTGGAAAAAACACTGGCTACAGGGTCACAGGATGTGGATTCAAATCCCATTTCTAATGCTCTCTACTTGCGCATCACACTTTAACTGCCTCAGTTTCCTCAGCTATAAAATGATGGAATTGGACCAGATGGCACCTGAGCTCCCTTGGATCTAAGATCCTATGAATCAGATATTAGTGGGAGGTGTGTAATTTTTAAAAAGTAATATTATTTTATCCTCTATTCTCCCCACTGGGGGAAAAATGAGGATCATACTATATTGGGCTTGAAGGTAGGAAAAAGTCACTGTCATCCTCAAGCTCAAATTCTCTAGGATGGGCCAGAAGGCTGCCAAGTAGAATAAAGAGAACCCTAGACTTAGCACAGGAAAACTTGGGTTCATATGTCTGCTCTTCTGTTTGCTGGCTTTGTGACCTTGTACAAGTCAGTTTTCCCCTCTTTCCTCAATTGTAAACCTCCATTTCTTCATCTATAAATGAGGAAAGCAATATTTGCACCTCCTACCACATAGGGAAAGAATCAAATGAGATAACCAGTGTGAGATATTTGGGATTGTAATGCTCTATATACAAGCACACAATTTATTCTCTTAGAACAAAAATGTCAAGCAGAAGCAAGGAGCAGCAAAGTTCCTGAGGGCCTCTGAACCAGATTAAAATGTAATTGGGAAATGTTTAACAAAATATGTAAGAATAAAATACAGCATAGATAATGTTAATTTGTGGTTTTCGAAGTCAACCTGTGATCTGTGGAGATCATTTTCACTTGAGTTTGACACCACTTCCTTGGAGGATGTTGGAGTCACTATTTTTGGTCACACCTTCAATAGCAAAAGTTCTCCAAGGCTTTTATGTATAGGCCCATAGGCACCATCACATTCTGCAGAACTGTCCACAGGTTCATGTTTTTAACTTCTCTTCTGCATGGCTTCAAACCTGTCCACTGGAAAGATCCATGCTATCAGCCCCAAGATTAAATGCTTTCTCCCTGCCCTGCATGGTCATCAGCGAACCTAAAGCCCAATAATCCTCAACTACCTCACTGCATAAGAATAATAGTTTTATATATTATATATAGGGATGTGTGCGTGTGTAGACAAAGAGACCGATGAAATGAAAGTGGGTATCTAGTAAATAGTCTGGACTCTGCTTTCCTCCAGATAAGGCCTTTGGGCTCTTTCTATTTCCCTGGTGCCTCTCTATGTGATTATTAGGTGATGATTACAGAGGTGTCTAGGGCACCATCGTTGATTTGATCCCAATTAGTTCCAGCAGTAGGCCATTTCCCTATTTCCTAGTGTATCAGATGTTCATGTCTATAGGTCACTTGGAAGAGGTAGGAAATGCTACTATAATTACATTATCTGCAAGCTCCAGACAAGACACGAACAAGGTAATTTATCTCAGACAAATTACATAAAATTTTCCCTTGGCCAAAGGACGCATTCCTCTCCATGGAGATATATATTGATTATTTCTCATGCTAGTAATCAAATCTTAATCAACGCTGCCCATGTTGCCTGATGCCAATAAGAGATTGGTTTCCCCCTTTCCTGCAGATTTTCTGAGAGTACCAGACAAAGCTAGCAGGAGCCATTAGAGATAATTAATGCAGCCAGCTGTGGCAGGTGCTGTTTCCCTGGGGTTGTCTTCTGGATTAAAGAGAGATACCAGGTCAAAGGTTGTGATAAGATGGTGATGAACCTAGGGTTCAAAGATTCAGAGGTGGGAGGGACCTCCAACACCACCAAGTTCCACCTTTTCATTTTACTGATAAGGAGAGCCAGACAAAGGAGAACTGAATAATTTGCCTAGATGTCACAGATAAAAAAAGAGGAAGGTGAGATCTGAGCTGAGAACCTCTAACTCCAGAGTTTCTTTCCATCAGATCACATTGCCTCTTTATACATATGTTCTTGGGTGCAACCTCTGCCATGAAAAAGCCGAAGTGAATAAAAGCAAAGTGGGGAAGGCAGCGTGCCAAACCCCAGGTGCCCTTCAGCACACAAGTAGAAGAAAGGGGATGGGAGAACATAGCCAATGTTAGAGCAGCAAGTCAGCAATAATGTTTGGTTGTGCATCATGGAGTCAGTGTAATGTGATGTAAAATGGCCTCAGGACAAATGCTCTTAACATCAACATGATCTTGCTGTGGAGCCAAAAAGGAGTAGGAAAAGTCAGAGGGTCTTAAATGGCACTTATTTTGTGGTTAGTTTCTATTACAAACAATATCAGATATGACCAAAAAAAAAAAAAAAAAAAAAGGAAAACACCTATGTCAAGATCTTCCCAGGGATGCTGTAGTCTTATGGGAGAGAGGATATATGGACAGTTTCATGACTCTGAAGTGTTTCCCAGTGTCACCAGGGTATAGAGAAAGAAGCGAGAGGCTTACTTTATGACTCACTCATCACTCCTCTGCCAGTAGCATTGAGAAGACACAAGAGGGAAGTGGTATTTGTGGAGACTGAGCAATGGTATGGGAGAAAACAGGAGTTTGGGAAGGTGCAGAAATTAAGGTGCAGGTGCAGAAATAGCTGGGGGGAGGGTGAGGAAAAAAGGAATCGCTCTGCAGGAGGTGATTGGAAGTGTGGGAAGAGAGAATTTCAAAGACCAAAATCACAGCTCATGAAGAAATTGAGAAGAGGTGAAGGAAAGAAGGGAGAGGAGTGAGGTTCAATGGAGGAGTATTTCCTTCCATTCCTCTCCTCTTTCTTCCTATTTTTTCTTTCCACTCCCCCTTTCCCCCCTTTTCTAGGGGTTGAGGGTATTGGGAATGGTTTGGATCGGTATGGGAACTCCTCATTCCAGTTATCTTTATCTCTCACCCATCTCATGTCAAGTCCTACATGAGAGGCTGTCAATCATCTCATTATCAGTCCTATTTCCCCCCCTTTTTCCTGTTTGCTGACTTCCCAGGAGCCTCTAGGGAGCAGGCAAATCCACTGAGAGCGTAGCTGGACACAGTAACTGCTTCTTATTCTCTCTGTAACTGGACTACTTTCGCTTTGGCAGGTGGCTCACTTACACAGGCTGGTCCTAACCCCACTGTCGGCCCTGCAGTCCTTATTCCCAGGACCCCAGAAACTCATCCAGAAGCGCTTTGACAAGCTGCTGGACTACAATGGCTACCTGCAGCGGGCAGTGGGCGACGACTCAGACCTGGCCAGGAAAGACTACGAAGCCCTTAACGCCCAGCTTGTGGAGGAGCTCCAGGTGTTCAACCAAGCTGGTCGGCAGGTTCTGCTGAACTGTCTCTGCTGTTTCATCACCCTCCTCAGGGATCTGATGCTCATGGGCCTGAAGCCTTATTCCACAGGCATGCCAGTAAGCAAACTCTTTCTTTCTACTTGGGCTGGAAGCAGCTATTAGAAAGCATGCACCTGTGAAATAAAGCCAGTTGTCTGTTCCCTTATCCTCGCCCCCACCAATAGCCTGATTTTTTTTTTTTACCTTATCTCCCTTCTCTACAGGCAGCTAAAAGAGAGCTTCCTAGTTCATATTTGCTGTGACTCCCCTTAGTATTTCCCTTGTAAATCTTTTCTCCAGATAGCAAGGGCATTGACCAACCCAGCCACAAAGACACCCTACCTAACTGCCAGACACAATCAGTACTTTCAATTTATCTTTTGTATTCTGTTCATGCATGGCAAGGCCTAAATGTTAAATCATAACTATTAAGCTACACATCCAAAAAGACTATCTCAGTGCAATAACAGAGGCCAGATGAATGTCAAACCATTCTTTGTTAGGCTTTTGTCCTTCCCCCAGGGAGAAGATCCTGAAATTGGGGGGTGGAAGTGGGGGTAAGGCACAGTCTCTATTGGGTTTTATTTTTTTTTCTCTTTGGTGGAATTAACTCTCAGTTCTTTATCCCATTAGAAAGGTATGAGAGTGGGGTCAAGAGAGATCTGAGTTCAAACCCTCACTCTGATACTTAGCTGTGTAACCAGGGGCAAGTAACTCAAACTCTCTGAGCTTTCATTTCCTTATCTATTAAACAGGGATAATTGCACTATTGTCTTGGTGGGGGGCGGTGGGAGAGATACAAAACTTAAGTAAGACAGGCTCTCTGTAGTCCATTAGATAGATCTTCAAGATTACAATATCTTGGAATCTATTTCCATAAGACTGAGAGTAAGATCTCACTTTTCTTTAATGATCTCAGTCGCTATAAGTCAGTCCATTTTTTCCAGGGGAGGGGGCAGCATTTCTCACTCAGCTGTACTTCTGGTCCCCCCACTAGGAAGCAAAAGACCCAGATTAGCAAAATATTCAGAAAGGGGCTAAAGCTTCACATCCACTATTTTGATGAGCTTTTCCTAGAAATTTTTCTTACCTAAAACTAATTTCACTCTGTTTCTTTAGATAATCACATTTGTGGACTTTAGGAAAACTGAATCAGCGTATGCTAGCTGTCTTCTATGTAGGGGACAGCTATAGAAAGTGAGAGAGGGAAGAAGGAAAGAAGGAAGGAGGGAAAGAAGGAAGGGAGGGAGGGAGGGAGGGGAAGAGAGGGAGGAAGGAAGGGAAGAAGGAGGGAAGGGAGAAAGAATGGAAGGAAGGAGGGAAGGAAGGAAAGAAGGAAAGGAGAGAGGGAGGAAAGAAGAAAGGAAACAAGCATTTATTAAGCACCTAACATGTACCTGGCACTGTGCTGAGTACTTTACAAGTGTTATCTCATTTCATCCTCAGAAAAGCACTCTAAGATAGGCACCATTATTATCATCCCCATTTTACAGTTCAGAAAATTGAGGCAGAGGTTAAGTGACTTGGCTAGGGTCACACAGCTAGCAAATTTCTAAGACTGGATTTGAACTCAGGTCTTCCTGACTCCAGGCCCAGCACTCCAAGTGGCAGTTAAGAAAAGGTAGGAGTAAAATCAGTATGATGTGGTAGGTAGAAGAAAACCTGGGTTCCAGTTTTGTTTTGTATACAAGTCACTTAACATTTCAATGCCTCAGGCAATTCTCTAAGACAATACATTACAGAATAGTGGGTAATATACATTGACATAGAGAGTTTCCTCTCTGGCACTTCCTTATATCAATGAAATCACCTGTCTTACCCCCCAAAACAGAGGAAGCAGGAGACCCTGGTAGTCTATGATTAAAATCTCCCCAACACCTACTCCTTTATTTTGTATTTAAAATTCACTATGTATTCTTTCCCACCTATAATACATGCTGGCTGGGTGAACGGGCAAGTTCTTTAACCTCTAAGCAACTCTCTAAGTTGCATAGGAGGTGCTAACTTTATTAGTAAAGGGAGTTTGCTTCTCTGGGAGTTCCCTATATCAATGAAAATGCAGAAAATCCTGTCCCTACCCTAACTTACACAGCTGAGCAATTCAGAGTCAAACAGGAAAAAGAAGGACATAGTTTGGACAAAACTATGAGTGAGTTTAATGCTTTATGATAAGGGTCTTAAACCTTTGGATGAGAAATGGGAGGTATCCATGCACCATCCATTTGCTTGGAGAATTCAGTGATAGGGGACGGATGATCACTGTTTTCACTGACTTCTAACTGAAATCTAACATTTCGTTCTATTAGGATGTAAGTAACCATTATTCGGTGCAGGGTCCATAGGCTTCACCAGCCTCTCAGAGGGGTCCATGACACACAGAAGAGGTTAAAAATTTCTACTTTGTGGGAATTGAATTTCCTCATCGCTTTCTTTGGGTTTAAAAATGTTATGCTTGTAGTATTTGCTCATCACAGTCTGGCTGCAAGTGATTCAGTTGACATGGGCAATGCCACTGTTTATAGCCTGTGTTATGTCATCTACACTTACCAGGGCTCTGGGATTCTTGCTTTATTCTACAGTTATCATTGCTCCCAACCAGCATCAGTGAAGCTCAAAATCGGGTAATAGAAGAGGTTCATAGCCTGAATTTTGTGAAGGATAACAGTGCAACTTTTATTGAAAGGAAGCTGAGCTTTGAAAAGAAGAAACCTGTGCCCATTTTGGTGAGTTTGGCATGACCAATGATGATGATGGCTGACAAGACTTCACAGAATTCATGTCTTCTATGAGGCACAAAGCTTTGGGGCCAGTATTTACACATGTTCATACATAGGTGTTTGCATGTTGTCTACCCCAGTAGATTGTGTGTTCCTTGAGGCCAAGAAGCGTCTTTAGCCTCTTTTCGTGGTCCTAGCACTAAGCACAATGCCTGGCGCATAGTAGGTACTTAATAAATGCTATAAAATCTTAGGGCTGGAAGGGGCCTCAGAAATCATGTGTCTACACCACTCCACCTTACCCCAACCCACCTCCAGGCAGAGAATGATGGTTAGCATCTTCTCCCAGATCTCCAAAGAAGATTTACAGAATGAAAAGTACAGAATTGTAAGGACTCTCAGAGACCATCTAATTCAAGCTAGATCTGAACAAAAACTCCCCCTCTGTTATGTATGACAAGCAGTTATCCATCCTTGGCTTGAAGATCTCCAGTGATGGGGATCCCATTCAATAATTTAGTTTTTTTTTAATTTTGACTTTTAAAAATTCATCTATGTATTTTATTTTCTTATCACCTTTTCCCCAAAATATATCCTTCCTTTCTGCCCCACAAGGCATCCTTTATAAGTAAGAATAAAAACAAAGGCAGGGGAAGCAATTTAACAAAGCTAAATAACATATCAACCTACTCTGACTGTATGGCCCCCCCACCTACAAAAGAGGGAAAGAAGGATGCCCTATTTTTGATAATGCTTTATTAATATGTTCCAAAAAATACTGCTTTCGCTTTCAAACGACTCTTCTCATCCCAACCAATAGAACCTTCCTTTTCAACAGCAAAGTATGGAGTAGCAAAATAAAAGCCTTACTTGATCATGTACATCTCACACCTATAGCCTATAGACCTATAACAAATAGAACTAAAGTCCATTGGATGAGAGGTGCAAACCATCTACTCAGCATCCATTTCCTTGATTCCCCACAAAGATGCATTTCTCTACTCCTTTCTTCCCAGGCGGAGATGCCTCGTCAGATGGAAAACCACCGCTCCCAGCTTCTAGCATCCTACAGCCTGGAGGCTCTCTACCAAGCAAAGCGCAGGTGTAATGCTACACAGGAACATGACATTGACCTTCTGGAAGGGGAGCTGGTAGCTGTCATTGAGCAGAAGGATCCCTTGGGCAGTGCAAGCAGGTGGCTGGTTGACACTGGAAGTGAGTATGATGCAGGAGATGCCCCCAAAAAGGACAGCGGGAAAAGAACTAAGCTGCCAATCCTACCTCTGATGCTTACTCTCTGCGTGACCTTGAGCAGATCACTTAACCTGGGTGGGCCTCAGTTTCCTCATTTGTGAAATGAGGGGATTGAACTCGTTGGCTTCTGAGGTCTGCTTCTAGTTCTTGATCTAGGATTCTTTAAAGCTGAGGTCTTTCTCTCTCAGGGCACTTCCAAAATGTCCTTTTTCTCTTCTTTCCTTTCTGTCTAGTCGCCAAAGGTTATGTCTACTCGTCCTTTCTGAAGCCCTACAATCCAGCCAAGGTGCAGCAGACAGATGGGGAGCACAGGTTCTGTGAGGAGGACTTTGATAACATCAGCCTTTTTGTGTCTTCGTGGCCTGCCAGCCACAGCATCCCACAAACTCGGGAAGAGAATGTAAGCGACAGCAGATCCTCTCTCAATGGCATGTGCGGAAAACCTGAAGCAAATGGGGCTGACACTGACTCTCTCCAGGATGGAGATGAGCAGGTGAGAACTTGTCCTTGTAAACCACCAGCAGGGTGGGGCAGCTAGATGGCGCAGTGAATAGAGCACTGGCCCTGGATTCAGGAAGACCTGAGTTCAAATCTGGCCTCAGACACTTGACACTTACTAGCTGTGTGACCCTGGGCAAGTCACTTCACCCCATTGCCTCGAAAAAGAAAAAACAAACAAACAAAAAAAACCACCAGCAGGCTATTTGGAACATGAAAGCTCCACTGACCTTCTGCTACAAGTCATCCAGGGTGATATGGCCTTCCAAAAGCAATGAAGGAAGCCCTAGCTACTTTACAAATACTATCTCACTTTATCCTCACAATAGTCCTGTGAGGTAGGCGCTGTTATTATCCTTATTCTGCAGTTGAGGAATCAGAGGCAAACAGAGGTTAAGTGACTTGCCCAGGGTCACGTAGCTAATAAATGTCTGAGGCTGGATTTGAACTCAGGTCCTTCCTGACACAGCAATCTACCCATTGTACCACCTGGCTACAGTCACGAACATTTCTAGGATTTTGTCATCTTTCAGTTCTTGGTTTTTTTATTTAGGTATCACTTGTCCTGTCTTCTCCACCCAATATAAGCAATCTAGTTCTGACCAGATTGCCACCAGAAACTAGGGAATACAACCTAATTCCCAAAAGAACACCGTCTTCGCTAATGTCACTGGCAGCAACCAGCCTTGAATCTCTGCCTACTGTAAAAATGAAACTCCCTGACATGACAGCCAAGAGACTGTGGTCTAAGCTCCTGTGCAAAAGAACAAGCTAGATTTCAGGCTGTGACCTTCTGTTGCCTCTTGGTAAAAAACTGAATGCAAGACAGATGTCCACATGATGGACACTAGCCTTAGATCTTAGATCTGGAGGAGGCCTGAGAGATCATCCTGTCTAACGCTCTCCTTCTCCATCGCAGAAATCATTCTTGATTGGTCAATAGTCAGAAGAACTTTGAAGTACGGAGAGGTTAAAATCATACAGCTAGCAAGTGGCTGATCTGTCTCTGTGCTCTGTCCTGAGACTGCACCACATGACCTTGTCTGATTATTGACAAATCAAGGATGATTTTTTTTCAATTAAGAAAAGTCAATTTTCTTTTATTCCTACCTTCCCGTATTGAAGAAGAAAAATAAAAAACAAAATCCTTGTTTTTATATATGATACATAAACACATAGTATATATGTATATATATAACATATGGTATATATATATGGTAAATGGAAGTTAACCCCAGAAAGAAGAGATAAATATGCATAGCCAGGCAAAACAAATTCCCTCATTGATCAGGTCCAAAAAAAATATATCTCTTATTCTGCACCTTGAGTCCATCAGCTCTCTATCAGCATGCTTTATCACGAGTCCTCTGGAAACACTGGTTGGTCATTGCATTGATCAGAGTTCTTAAGTCTTTTCAAGTTTGATCAAGCCTGCTTCTTAACCAGCCTGGCTGATTAAAATGCATGATCTTCAGTTGACTGTCTCTTTTACACCCTCTTTTGCTTTCTTAGTTTTGGTCAGAGATACTAGAAGGCCATGTCGAATTATGGAGTAAGCTAATTTTACAGCTATTAAAAGATGAGGCATGTATTCCTGAGACAATATGCAAATATACATTCCCTTAACCCCACGGTGCAATTCCAGAAGTGACCATGGAGGGGTCAGGGTTCATTCTATGGAGCTTCTGTTAAAGTCAGACAGAGATCTGGTTCTTTGACCCAGGTCAAAGAACATGTCCAAACTCTTTCATGTTGAGGCCTTTGGGGCAATGAAAATAGTTCCCTACTGAGTAGTCTTAAGAATATATACCATTTGAATTGTCATACTTTTTTTCTCCTTTGGTCACAACATGAAATGCGCGGTTTACCATTATTGGAAAATAGATATCCTATGAGATTTCAGATTTTGAAGGTGGACGAAACAATAACAACCATCACAACCACAACAACTAGCATTTATATATAGCCCTTTACAGTTAATAAGGCACTTTCCGTATATTTTTTTATTTAATCCTAACAACAACTCTTTGAAGTAATTAGGTATGATTATTAACCTCATTTTACGGTGAGGAAATTACGGCTAAGAGGGATTAAGAGATTTTTTGAGGCCTAGATAGCTAGTAAATATCTGAAAAAGGATTTGAACTCAGGTCTTCTTGACTTCAAGTCTAGAACTTCTGCCACTGTACCACCTGCCTAGATTAACTGTAGCATCACATTGATTCATTCAAAATTATTTAATGATCATAAGGTTCATTAATAGCAATTAGATAGCACTTTAAGGTTTATAGCATGCATTACATGTGTTACCTCATTTGATCTCATAACAACCCTGTGTGGTAGGTGCTAATATTATCCTTATTTTGCAGATGGGAAAACTGAAGCTTATAAAGGCTAATTAAGTTATCTAGGGACATGTAGTTAGTATCTTAGGCAAGATTTGAACTCAGGTCTTCCTGACTGTCCAGCATTCTGTCCAGTACACCACTTAGCTGGACTAATTGTAATATTTCATTGTTGTTATAGTTCAGTCGTTTCAGTTGGGTCCAATCTTTGTGACCCCACTTGGGGTTTTCTTGGTAACGATATTACAGTGGTTTGCCATTTCCTTTCCAGCCCCTTTTATAGATGAGAAAACCTTGACAAACAGGGTTAAGTGACTTGTCCAGGGTCACACAGCTAGAAAATGTCTGAGGCCACATTTGAACTCAGGAAGATGAGTCTTCCTGACTCCAGGCCTGGCATTCTATGCACTGTGGCGCCACCTAGCTGCCCCAAGTTGTAACATTAAAAAGTATTTATTGAGCATCACCTTCACAAAGTACTAGTTGTTGTACAGATGTGAAACTAGGCTCTTGAAGTTCATGCCATTGGTGGGAAACATCTGGCAGGCTCCAAGTATAGTTCTGGCAACAGACGATATTTACGTAGCCTAGCTAAGTATAGAGAGGCTCATTCAATTATAGGCTGACCCCTCAATGAGGATGAATTCCTTTTCTATGAAACCCGTGAAATGAAGAAAAATAGATGATGATCCTCAGGCCTATATGGCCCTTTTCCACTTCTGAAGGGACAGCATGTCATCATAGTGAAAAAGAGAGTAGTATCTGCAAAGAATCACACAAATTTTTAATTGTCTATTAATATTAACTTAGCCATTGGAACTTTAGAGGTAATGCGGTACAGTGGAGTTCTCTCCTTGACCCAGGAAGACCTGGGTCCACAAGTCCTATTCCTTAAAAACACTGCCTACATCACCCAAGGGCAAGAGGTACAACTTCTCAATGTTCTAGAAGACTCCCTAAGACTACGTATTGCAGAGGAGGAGCTGACTTGCTTTGGTAGGAGTTTTCTCATCTGAGTGTTTTCCATACCAACGAAATAATAGAACTAGGTCGTAACCCCATCGGTATTTCGGTCAGTCAGTCAACAAGCACTTAGTTTCAAACACGCTAAGTGCTAGGAAAAGCAAGAAAGGCAAAAGCACTATATATATATATATGTATATGTGTATGTATATGTGTGTGTATGTATATATATGTATGAGTGTATGTATATATGTGTGTGTACGGAGAGATACAGAGAGACAGAGAGAAAGAGAGACTAAATGAAAGGAAACCTCAGAGGGAAGGGATTAAATTGTTCAGTGGCCAACAGACGACATACTGCTGGAGGAACTGAATTGTATCAGTCTTTACACTCTTTTTATAAAGGAAACTACAGTACCCAAGAAGTCCCAGTTAAATGGAAGTGTAGCTCACAGTTTCTCCATGGAGAGTAAAAAAAAAAAAACAAAAAAAAAAACGAAGTGGTAGAATTGGTTTGGTCATGCATTCCAAGAAATAAAGAAATATAATTTCATGGGACATTTGTTCACCTTATATTTCAGTGCTCATAATAACTATTTGCAAAACTATCGCCATGAAAATGATCATAGCCTATGTATGCATCCACATTTGTTGAGAGGATGAGGAGGTAGGAAAAGTCTATGGAGAAATTTGAAAAAAACTCTTCATTAAATCCACTCAGTGACTTTAATGCAATGGCAGCTATAGAGGAAGGTGGAGGTGGGGGTGGGGAATGCACTGGAAGATGTGGTTCAAGAATAAAAAATGAGAGTTCAAAGTCTAGAAAAGCCTCATCTATGTTTCATGAATGAGAAGTTAGTGGTACAATGGATAGAGTGCAGGGCCTAGAGTCAGGAAGACCTGAGTTCAAATTTGGCCTCAGACACTTACTAGCTGTGTGACCCTGGGCAAGTCACCTCACCTCGTTTGCCTCAGTTTCTTCATCTGCAAAATGAGCTGGAGGAGGAAATGGCAAACCACCCCAGTCTATTGTCAAGAAAATCCTAAATGGGGTGAGGAAGAATCAAAGATAACTGAAAACAGCTGAACAGCAGCAAAATGTATCATGAATATGTGATTCATTAAAGATTTGAGAGATCCTAGAGTTGGGGAGTGCAGATAACAAAACAAAAAATGAAACTGATTATATTTTAATTGACAGGAACTCATTCCACTAGACCATGAGCTCCTCAAGAACAAGGACTGTTTTTTTGCCTTTCTTTCTATCACAAATGCTTAGAACCGTACTGGGCACATAGTGTAATAATGCTTAATAAATGCTTAATGACTTGACAAATGAACTCATTATTAATATGGGAGTCATTCTCAGATAGTAGGGGATCACCTTGCTGCCAGAGATATCTGACTCAGATTAACTACATGCTCAGGAAACAGGGATCAACAGATATGATTGTTGAATCACTCAGTGACAGCGATATTTTGTTATTTATTTATTTATTTTGTTTTGGCTAGGCAATGGGGTTAAGTGACTTGCCCAGGGTCACACAGCTAGTTAAGTGTTATGTGTCTGAGGTCGGATTTGAACTCAGGTTCTCCTGAATCCAGGGCCGATGCTCTATCTACTGCACCTCCTTGCTGCCCCTGATATTTTAAAGATTGTGTAAAATAGGGAAGGTTTCTTAAGATT